TGTTTTTTTTTTTTTTTTTTTTGCCACACAAAAGATTTTTAGTTTAATTAGGTCCCATTTGTCTATTTTTGTTTGTGTTGGCATTTGTTTATTCAGTCTTAGTCATAAATTCTTTGCCTACACCAATATCCAGACTTTCTATATTAATATTTTTCTTGAGGCAAACAGGTAATTGAGTGTAGGAAAATAATGTTTGTTTTCCTCTTTAAATTTTTCTATAATTAAAAATACGTAATTTTTTTTTTTCAAAATTTGATCAATCTAGAGTGAGGTGCATTGCAAAAGTCACTATATGGGAAAGTTCAATAACTTTTACCTTTGTCAGTGTGTAAATGAATATTTTTAGCTGAATCTATTTAATGAACTCAATGTTCATAAACGTTTTTAATGTTCTTTTATGAAAAATTAAAAACTCGATAAGTAATTTTACTGTGTTAAATCTTCTTTGTTAGCTTTTAAAAGCGACAGTCACAGGTAGTATTTCACTTCTTTATACAATGTTATACACAGAATTTACATGTAAGATTTTAATCTTTTTCAGGGTAATGGCAGATGAGTTAACCAACTCCAGAGCAGCTTTACAGCGTCAAACCCGAGATGCACACAGTGCCATACAAGATCTCTTGAGTGAACGGGAACAGTTTCGTCAGGAAATGATAGCCACCCAAAAGTATGGCACTTGTTTACAATTCTAAACTTTTATGATTTCTCCTGAAGTTTTTGTTGTTGTGATAGTTTTTTTAGTGTGTCTACGTTCAGTAACTAATTGAGCACACACTTTGAGTAGCAATTTAAAGTAGATGCCCTGGGAGAGAGAAAGACTAAAAAAATTAGAAGACATGCTTGTCATGTACTAATTGAAGAGAGAATTAGTTATATCTATGATAGACATTTCTGGATCTAAAAACAGTTTTTGGTTATAGTTTTATATATATAGTTTTATATAGTTTTTGGTAGAAGCTACCGAGTGTACCTATCTCTCCTATGGAAGGAGATCTTTTTGAAAACTTTCTACCATATTAAAACTTATTTTCAAGTCCATATTCTCCAGAATCATAAAAATTGATATTTTTCTTTAAAAGCTTATCAAATTATCTGGCTTGGCGCCTATAGCTCAACCGGCTAAGGCGCCAGCCACGTACA